ATAAAAGCCCTAAAGAGGTGAGTAACGGCCCGTCCACACAGCAGCGTTAAAAAAATCTTGGAGGTGGGCGTATCTGAAGCTTGGGGATTTTTTGCGAGCAAGGCACCAACAACCAATCACATGAATCTCCCGCCCCTGACATACGAAGCAAAAAAGTTTGAAGTAAACTGGATATAAACTCCCCAAACAGGCGAAAACCTACCACTGTCTCTGCCACCTCCCTCCATGCCTGGCTCCTCCGGTTTATATCCCGGTAGGTAAATAGGGACTGGTCATAAAGCACCGGGTGATTCCCTACCGCTAATTTCTCCTCCATTTTTGGGAATATGAGGAAATGACCTGCGGTATGTCTCTCCCAGCATACACACGGTTTGATTGGCTAGCGCTTGAACTGTCAGATTTGCATACACGGGATTTGATTGGCTGACGCTTCCACCTCAGCTTCAAAAGTTGAACATTGCTCAACTTTGAATCCTGAAAATCCTGAAAATCTCCGCTCGCCTGCCCACAATGCAGTTCGGCGAAAAGTGAGGCAAAGTGACGTCACCCCATTCAAAGTGAATGGGCAGAAGCGTTTCAAGATGTTTTAACGCTGCTGTGTGGACGGTCCGTAAGACTATCAGACAGGAACTGTATTTTTGAAGAAGTTGTATTTTACTTTCAATATAAAAGGTAAACATGGCATAAAGACAGTAAGTTTACCTTTTATTCTCTTGACCTACAGAATGACAAAAAGTGCCTTTGTTGTCAAATCCTAAAACGATATCTTCGAGGTGTGTTTCTTCCCCTAACTCCCATACAAGTCAAAAGTTTACTCAGTTGTTTCAAGGTGACTTTGACGTTGGCTGTGGTGTTGGGGGTAATGGGACAATGTGTCGTATCTGTCCCCGACGTATTTTTCAGCGCTAATGTTTTTCTGCCGGTGAGGGTAGCTGTGGATGCCTCAGGACGTCACACATGCGTGCACACACACTGTCACACCGCTCAGGTCTCTGGCTCTGCTGCTGTCATCCAGGTCAGAGGGGTGGGGAGATGCAAGAAGTAGCAATGGAGAGAGAGAAGAAATGTAAAAAAACACACCACTATAAGTCTTACATTCCTTGGTTCAGCTCTAAAGCCATCTTTCATTATGAACTAGCTCAAAAGAAGCATCTTTCATTTGTCTGTGTTTTCACAGCAGTTATGTTGCAAATAAGACAGAAAAAAGACATCCCAGACAGTACTCATTTATTTCATGAGTGGCAACAGTACTTTGTAATCTCATTTTAAACCAGACGTTTCACTTCAGCAACCACGGCTATGTTTTTGTAAGATGAACATATGCGTATACTCGGTGAAGTGTGTGCCAAATCAATCGCCCGGAATTTAGCATGAGCAGAAGGGGGAAACTTGTTGTTTTCTTGGCACATGCTGTTTGTGGGTTTAAAAGAGTCTGTGTGAGAGTCAGTATGAGTGAGAGCTTCATCCAAAACAAGTCTCTGATAGGTAAAGAGAACACACACACATTCGGCAGCACAGTTTTGAAGCAGGATTAATTGGAAATGAACTGCTGGGTTCCCTCATGTGCTGTTGAGTGTTTGTTGGGAACCATCCCAGCTGTAGTTAAGAGCCTCTGGGTGCTTCTTCATCTGAAGCACAGAGAACAAGCTACTCTCTTTTCGAGCTGCTGCACACAATACAGGCTGACAATAAGCAGTGGCATCAGCTTTTGTGCCACATGTCAGAGGAATATTAGATCGTTCAAAGACATCAGTAACCAAAAAATTGAAAAAATCAGAAAGAGTCCGTCTTTCTTCTACATATACTGTAGAGCTGCTAAATCTCAGATTCATTCTTACCGAGTGGCCTCGATCTAACCGCCTTATTCTCTATTTTCAAATGTTCTTGGTTTCTGACTCTGGGCTCGATTACTCAAACTGCCTGTTGAAAAGGATAAACACATATCGATTTATATAATTATTTCAATATGTATGTAATCTAAATGTAACCCGACCACAGGCGAAGAGTCTTGCAGAGACAAAAAGGGGGGAGGGCTTTTTTGATGGAGAAGAGGGTTGAAGGGGAACTTGTTGGTGGAGAGTGATGGAGGGGCACAAATGAGCCAGGTGGTTACAAAGGCCAGGGGCGATGCTAGGGGCTTCCCTCCAGGGCGAAACGTACTGTACCAGCAGTCACCTGCCATCTATCATCTGAGTGTGTGTGTCTGTGTCTGAATGTGTGCGAGAGAAGAGAGTCGGGGGGGGGGGGGGGGGTTCTGCCTGTCATAATGCTCTAATCCTGAGTGACGTTTATCCAATGGAGGCTTCGCTCATTCATCCATCCATCACGTTCTATTCCTCCTTTCAATCCTTTGCTCTGCGCTTTATGTCTTTCCCTCCCTCTCTGCTTGTTGCTTCAGACAGACAGTCAAACCAACCCTGCATACCAAGTACTTACAAACACACACACACTGGAATTACAACTCCGGCGTAGCATTGTAGATGTGGTTTTTACATTTTGAGTTGTACAGATGTCTTTGTACAGAGTGGGAGTTATGAGCGTGTGTGTGTTCGTCAGCCATGACAGATGAAATGGGAGATGCTTTCCTTAGTTGTGTTTGAAGCTCAGCGGGGTCACAGCAGTAACAGACATTTATTTACAGCACACTGAAAGCTCCCCCAGCTGACACATGCACACACTCACAAGGAGGTCTTTCATGCGACAAGCTCCCTAAAGGTAATAATATAAAACACTCAGCAGGAGAAGTAACCCCGGACCCCTTCTACCCTTTTCTCTCTTTCCTCCCCTCTTGGCCTTTCTCCACTACTCCCTCTCTCTGTGTTGCTCCCCCTCCGTGTGCTAAGTATAGCAGCAGTAATGGTGATGGATGCAGATGGAGGGAGCAGGTCTTAAATGTCAAACTCAAATGAAAACCAGTGTTCCACTGAGACAAAAGCAGCTGGACACATCCAGTGTTATTTAACACTTGTACACTTACAAGCAAGCACTCACAGATGAGGTTCTGCACTGCCCCAGACTATGTTATAATGAAAGAAATGGACGCTCAGACCAGTGCAAACTAATTTGAACGAAATTGTATTCTTAGAGAATATCATAGTTATCAGAGTTGCTCTTGTAAGCAGTCAAAAGGATGCAAACGATTTTCTATACGGTATGAGTAGCAGCATTACCGGCATGTTAGTGGTTAATTACACAGGCTGGGTCATAAGATAAGATAATTGAGAAATGTTTGCGTTGCAACAGCAAAAAAAAAAACAACGCATTGCACATAAGTAGAAATTAAAAAACAATACTAGAATTTAAACATCTCAAAATAGAATTTAAAGCAGCATTAAAATGTGGAAAATATACGGCTGACCGTGAAGATAAAACATTTATAAACTCTGACAATCATCAGAGCTGCTGAGCCTGCTTGTCTATGTGTGTTCTCGCCTATATGCTAATTACAAACGACTATTTCTAGTTTAATGAAGGCAATATTTATGTCTTCAAACCTCTCTGCAATGAACAGAAACAATCCTCCGCAGCCGAATGCGATGTGACACAAAAGAGAGAGCTTTTTCGTCTTCCTCTCTCCAAATTAAGGACAGATGTTCATCAGCCCTTTTGTCTCTGAAGACTTTGAGGCAGACAGTCGTGATGTACTCTGTAGGACTGTGACTGAGTGTGTCTGCTCAATGATTCAGAGGGATGAGCTCATCCACACCATATTAACGGGTGAGTCAGTGTGTAGGGTTTTTTTATCAATGGAGAACAGAGTGTTTATTCTAGTGTGCACATTTTTCACAAAGTTGCTATATCAGGTCTTTACAGGGCCGGGCTATTAATGCAAGGGCAAACCCAGCATGAGAATCCTTTTATTCATCCGATAATGAGGCTTTTTGTAGCCTTACATGTCTTTAAACAATGTCCAGCCCCTAGAATCCCGCCTGAGTGTGATTTAATTGAGATGATGCAAATAAAGCATTTAAAAAATGGGCATGCTTGTGTTTTTATGTGTGGGCCAGAAGACAAAGCCGAGGGAGGTGGGAGATTAGTGTCGGACAAAGGTGATCAGTGGAGCCATACAGTATAACGCGATGCTTTGTCTGTGGTTAAATGGCTAATTTTCTACTATACTCCAATACTGTAGGGACTCTGCATGAATGAAGAGAGGAGGTGTAGGACCTCTCCATCACTCCGACTATGACCTTCCAAGAGTCACGCTGCTATAGAGTACAGAACTAATGCCTCAATATATTATGTGAATAGCTGCATTATCATTATGCCTCTCCTTCTCACTATCGCTCTCCCAGTCTTTCTCTCAAACTCTGAAACGCAATGCAAAGACACACACAGATTCAGGAGTGTTTCTCCTATACCATATTTGATGATGAAATATTTGCGCACTGCAGGTTGGAGAAACATAGAGAAACAGAACAGGAGACAAATGGAGAGAGCAAGTGAGCTGAGCCTTGTGAGCGGCTGTTCTTCCTCTCTGCTCTGTATTGTATGTGAAGCAGTAGTTGTAGTCACTTCAGGAGATAACATATAGACTTCCTGGACAAGAGCAAGGTCAACACAGGCGCCATAGCGACACTCACTAATGCATGTGCACAATGCCCACAATCTTGCACACAATAGAGGGTGAGGAGGGAGGGAGGACCGAGGGAGATAAGAGCAAAATGTCACCACATTATTTTTCAGGAGAAATAGCCGGAGAGGAGAGCAGTCACATTTTGAACTCTAATCCCGCCAAATGTTCATTGATTCGTGTGTCTTGGTGTATTGATGGATGCCATTCATATGATACCAGAGTTCAATGCCTCCGAGATGTTGCTACCATCAGTAGCTTTGACCTGTGCTGTGTTGTTTTTTTGTAAGATTACTGTTGAAGTCTTTCGTGGTCCGTGTGATTGATGATCTGGAGTTAATAGAACTGGTCTGAGTTAGATGGAGGTCCTTGACTGGAAGATGTACTGTAGACTTCAGAGTGTGTGTGTGTGTTTGTGTGTGTGCAGGGCAGGATCGCAGCGAGTCGACTCTCATCAGGCGTTTTAAGGGCGATGGCGTCCGCTACAAGGCCAAGCTCATCGGCCTGGACGAGGTCACTGCCGCCCGTGGAGACAAACTCTGCCAGGACTCGATGATGAAGCTCAAGGTAAGGAGGGTCTCTTTCCTCTTTTTTCTTTTCTCTCTGTTGATGTGTCGTAAATTAAAAAAAACGTAGCTGCTCTTTGAAGTTACTGCATAAAGCTTGCTTCTATGTAGATCTAAGTAGGGAAAATAGATGAAAATGAGGATGCTAGGATGGGGAAGTATACATGTTAGCTGTATGAATAAGAAGGGGATTGTTGTGAATGTCTCCGCAAGAACAGTAGAAACAAGCCATGTATGTATGCCTTTATAATATATTCAATCCAGGGTTCTTACGGTCATTAAAAACCTGGAAAAGTCATGGAAATTCAAAATGCTAATTCCAGGCCCTGGAAAAGTTATGGAAAATAATATTTTGGAAATGTCATGGAAATGTAACTAAAGTTGCATCAAATATAATTTATATTTTAGCTAATCGCCAAAATAGTAATACTATAATGATAATAAATACTGTATCGTATAGTAATGAAACGTAAAATGGCATTTAACTGACTTGTGTTTTGCTGGTGAGAGATTTGAGTTGCTTTAGCCTGTAGAAGCTAGTAAGCCTATTTGATTTGTTTTATATAGGCACAACATGTTTCATATGCAGACCTTATATCCTGTTCCATGTTAAAATAAACCATTTTCAGTGGTACTGCTGAGAAAGAGTAATTTTTTGGTCATGGAAAATTAGGTAAAGGTCATGGAAAAGTAATTGAAAATCATTGGTGAAAAAGTGTATGAACCCTGTCAATCCTAAATAAGAAGTTGACTTATATATTATTACTGTAAGTTGCAGATGGAGAACACTTTTCTTTATTACATGGGCCTTACAGTGAATACAAAATGTTTCATATTTTTACACAAATGTATGCTGAGAGAAAACAGTGAATGTGTAGAGCGCCCCTATTCATTATTAATCGTCCTTTATCACACGGGGTCATCACACTGCAGGAGATATTCGAATAGAGAAAATTGCATTTACGTTTTGTTTATATGTAGTGAAAACTCTATCCAGCCTGGGTGTAGAAGGGTGAGGAGAGGAGAGACAGCTCATTGATCAAACAGCTTCCCTCCTCCTCATTTATTCAGACAGGAAATCCATCAACTCTTTTTCTCTGATCTCCCCACCTCTTCTTTCATACTGCTCCTCCCTCTTCTCGCCCGACTCTCTCAATTGTCTGATCTCGCTCCTTTCTTTTCTTCTGCTTTTGTGACTCACCTATGCAAATGGTGTCGGGGTGGATGTTTGAGGGAGTTGCCACCCTTAGATACACTTGTAGAGTTATAAATCAGTTATGTTGTCATCAATTGTTGCAATTTACCTTTTCGCTGTACCTGCCATGTCTGCCTTTTCCGCTATTAAAGATTTCCTACAATGCTTCTCAGCAGGTAAGGTTTTGCATTCACCTGAACAGAACAAACATAGCTTGATACTAGATAAGACATATTTGGTGGATGTTTGTGTTCCACCTTAAATAGCTTTTATAGCTTTCAAAGATTTAAATGGACTATTCTTACTTCTGTGGATCGGGGAATGATATCACTTCCTCTTTGGTGATTTCCTTCAACTGGCAGTTATTGGACAGAAATATCCATGTATGGGCTTACATTCCCATTAATTCAAGTCATATGTTTCTGTCCTGCTTCTAACATTGTTTCTTCTTGATGTGTGTGTGTCCTCAGGGTGTAGCAGCAGGAGCGCGGTCTAAAGGAGACCACAAACAGAAGGTGTTTCTGACCATCTCCTTTGGAGGGATCAAGATCTTTGATGAGAAGTCAGGGGTAAGCTCAGAAGTGTGTGTGTGTGTGTGTGTGTGTGTGTGTGTGTGTGTGTGTGTGTGTGTGTGTGTGTGTGTGTGTGTGTGTGTGTGTGTGTGTGTGTGTGTGTGTGTGTGTGTGTGTGTGTGTGTGTGTGTGTGTGTGTGTGTGTGTGTGTGTGTGTGTGTGTGTGTGTGTGTGTGTGTGTGTGTGTGTCCTCTGTAATGAGGCATCTCCATGAGAGGGAGGGGCCCCTGGGGAAATCATGAGGCCCTAATTTAAACCCTGAGAACAAGGCCTCCGTAGATGAGAGAACATGGCTATCCTATTGTGTGCCTCTCTGAAAACAGCGACAACACTGGTTCTGGATTACGCCTCAGGATTATACATTTTCCATCTCACATCGCTGCTTTTGTGCTTGACCGACTGTCCATGCACGATTTGATGTCCAACTGATATGATTCCCCTACCTTTTTTACATTTTTGTAATCACTCTGCAAGACTTATTTCTACTAAAGAGAGGTACCTGAATGATCCAAATAACCCCCACAAAAAGCAACATAGTTTATCTGTATTTCACTGGTGTAGAGATGTATGGACAAGTCTGGCACTTATGGGACCATTCATAGATAAAGGACACTCTATGGACAGCTTCACCGTGAAGTCAGCTGTTAAATACCAGAGAGAGTATGCATGCATCTCAGGGGAAAGTCGCCATTAGAGCGCAGTGATTTCTTTCTCAAGGATCCTCTGACAGGTATTGTCCAGGTTCGATTCCCCAACTGGCCTTATCTGTCACACTATCCTTGAGCAAGAAATATAACGCCTACATTTCCCAGGACACTTAGCGCTGTGGCTGGAGGACAGCCTCATTGAAGGGGTCATTTCACCATCATTTGTGTTAATAATAGAAAAGTCAGATTCAATCCCAGAAACTCCTAGAAATATTGGTTATGAGGGACTCAGTTTGCTCACTGCAGACCACTCAGAGCAGCTGTGCATGTTACATTTCATATTTCTGGCAGCTGGAGTGAAATTGTTCAAACATAATAGACAGTATGTGGAAGAGGGATATTGTTGTTATAGGATACAGGGGTAGGATTTGGGAATTTGGCAAAAAGGTGACAATCAAGTTATTTTAGCCCAGAAGGTGGTGTTTTATTGTATTTCAAAATGTATTGAATATTATTATTTAAAATCTCTGAGAACCAGGAAGGGCACTGTGTGGCTTAATTTCAAATGTGATAGTAAATAATAATACAAATCATTATGAAAAAACATAATAAAGCATTTTCATCTGCTCTTCTGCTCTTCCTGGCCCTCCACACACACACACCTTGCTGTTGTGTGTGTGTGAAGTGAACCCAGTGGTAATTTATAAATGATGGGTATCAGGCAGGACAGTAACCAGTGGCCTCCCACATGGCAGCCATATTGCCTGCTGCCAAACTCATCCCTCAGCAGTCCAATCCCTCTGTTTTATAACCCTCATTCCTCTCCGTCTCATTCCCCTTCCCCTTCCTGATGCTTCAAACCCTATACGGTGAAAGATTGAGAGGGATAAAGAGAAGCAACCGGAGATAGATTGAGAGGTAAAGAGTCAAAGAGGAGACACTGTAGAAGTGAAGAAACAAGAAAAAGGGCGAAAAAGAGAAGGTGAGAAGAAACAAGAATTTGAAAAAGACGGATAAAGGGAGGATGAGAGGGAGGGGGACAAAGACAGACTGAGACAGAGTTAGAGGGATAGGTAGAGAATCAGTGAACATATGTCAAAGTAAAGCTGTCTATAGAGAGACGTTGTCCTCTGTCTCCACACATTAATATTAACTATAGAGATATGCTGTCCTTACTATCAGGCCTTCAACCACTTCTAATGGCTTGGGACGGGGGGGAGAGGGGGGGGTCGGAGAGAGAGAGAATGACTGCTGAGGTTCAGGGTTCTTGACAGTCTCGTTCCCCTCCTGTGCATCAGTCAGCCAGATGGGCGGATGTATGTATGGGTGAGAGAATGGATGGATGGCTTCTCTGTTGGAGGAGGGAAGGTCGTGCAGGATGGAGGGAGGTGGTGCTTGAGATGGAGGAGAAGAAGAGGGGAGACATTAATCTAGCAGAGGGCAGACCGGCATGTCTCTCTCTTTCTCTGCCAGCCTCTCTCCACACGCATACACACATTAAGACACAAGCACACTACACACTTCAGCCCTTTTTGTCTTTCTAGTCAGGTCAAGAACTCACAAGAGTGAAGGGCTGAGCTCACCAGCCTCCCGCACCCTCAGAGAGGAAATCGGAAAGATCACATTAGTCGAGTTCAGCCAGCGCAAAGGACTATGTATAAAAGAAAAAGTAGCTTGAATGAAAGCAATGTCGAAAAAATACCCTAGAGCAAAGTATGCCAGACAGAGACATGGAAACAACACAGATGAGGTAAGAGCCAGACAAACTGGTGTTTCCTTCCAGTCTATTCCATACATCCACATTGGGTCCTATCCGAGGGGATCAACTGAGGGTCAAGCTTGACTGGATGAACATTGGGTTACATTTGTATAATGTATGTCTAAAGTAGAGGTAATATCGGGGAACAAAGGAAGTAAGACTAAGTAAGGGCAATTTCTCAAAAAAAGCAAGGAAAAATGTGTGAAAAGTGTTTGTTTGGGTGGGGGACTTTTTTCCAGCTGAGCACCTTACTATGTGTATGCTGTATGTGTGTGTTCACCTTTCTGGTCACAACTCTGTGTCAAACTGGTAGATTTTAAATCAGGATTCATTCCAGGGTAGGAACAGTTGATCTTATGTGCGTGCGCCATTCTGTCAGTGACTGACAAAGAGCTCTCTTTAATTAATGCTAAATGCAAATCTCAGGCCTCTCCCGTTTGGAGACTGGACAGCGTCTTGTGTCTCTGGGGTCTCCCCTTCAGGAGGGCCATGTGAAGAGATGTGAAGAGGGAGAGAAGGACAGTAGCTGCTGCTTCTCCTGCCCAGTTCCAGCGTCAGGGAATATCTTGGTTTAGTTCTTCTGAAGGGCAAACCGCTCAAACTCAGAAACATAGACACTGTGTGAGAGAGAGATTGTGAGAGAGAGAGGGAAAAATAGAGTACACAGTCAGTATTGGGCTTTTCGATAAACCAACCTGTTTTTGCAAACAATCCACTTCCCCAGAGAATACATCTGTTTAAGCAACTTTGAGCGCCATCTGATAGTTGATGCTGCCAGACATGTCGGCTCCTGCAGCGGCCAGCCTCCTGGGATTTCATCTTACTGGTGTGTCCAAAACTTACCAAGACTGACACAACAAAAACATTTAGATTATGTTTGTAAAAAAAACTATGCCTCGTCATTAAGAGATCTAAGTAGACATTGTTGTGCCAATGAACAGCTCAGTGGTGTTGACAGTGTAAAGTTAGCAAAAAAGAGTAAGCAAGTTACAAAAACAGCAGTGTTGTTTGAGTGCCGTCTAAGATTGCTTACATTTATTTTTCAATTAAATGAAGTACAATTTCATCTGGTTTTAGAGTATGTGTGCATGACATTAATGGAAGCTCAATTAGGAAAAGTCCAAAGGCAAAAGCCATTTTTAACAGTGCATTGCCTGCCAATTAGACAATGAGGATTCATACGGAGTCCATTTTTACATTCAGTTTCATCATTAATGTCACATGGTTATTTTCTCTTCTATTTGAGGGTTAGGAGATTTATGGGTAAACTAACGGCATAAAAAGCCAGTACCACTTCTCCTCTACACAGCACACGTGAAAGACCAGGTGCATCCCCTTCATGGTTTCCTCTACCAAGTTCCTTGTCAAACACTTTCATGGATGTTAAATCTGTGTATCAACACATATGGTAGCATAGGCCTCCCCTGACAAACTAGGTACTGACTGTAAGCATATGCAAATTGTGTCTACTCTCTTTTGCTACCAATACGAAGTAGAGCAATTGAATTCTTGTTCTCAGCTGTGAATCAGAGTCTCTCTTTGTCACCTCACCACCCACCCAGAGATAATTCAATAACCTCTGCAAATGAACCGTGTGTGTGTGTGTGTGTGTGTGTGTGGGTGTGTGTGTGGGTGTGTGTGTGTGGTGTGTGTGTGTGTGTGTGTGTGTGTGTGTGTGTGTGTGTGTGTGTGTGTGTGTGTGTGTGTGTGTGTGTGTGTTGTGTGTGTGTGTGTGTGTGTGTGTGTGTGTGTGTGTGTGTGTGGTGTGGTGTGTGTGTGTGTGTGTGTGTGTGTGTGTGTGTGTGTGTGCGCATCGGGTGCAAACGTTTGCGCGTAGCTTTCATTTTCAGGTCAATCAGAGGTGATAATAGTAATCGTTACTCTAATTATTAAATTTAGAAGACATGACTCCTACAATGATTATCCATTTCTTCTGGGGCCCTCTGTGTGTGTGTGTGTGTGTGTGTGTGTGTGTGTGTGTGTGTGTGTGTGTGTGTGTGTGTGTGTGTGTGTGTGTGTGTGTGTGTGTGTGTGTGTGTGTGTGTGTGTGTGTGTGTGTGTGTGTGTGTGTGTGTGTGTGTGTGTGTGTGTGTGTGTGTGTGTGTGTGTGTGTGTGTGTGTGTGTGCACCAATGCCCCCATCTTAAATTGGTGTCACTCTGTTCTGCCCTGTCTTGGGTCTGGAATAGCTTCAAAGAGAGCAGATGTGTGTGTTTAGCCTCTGATGTATAGAGCTGCAGCATGCACTGAAGGGCTACTGGGTCATTATGGTGACTGTGTGTCTCTGCTCCCAGCATGCAGTTGGCCTAGACAATAACAACAAAGCAGACATTTAGTGTGACTTAACAGGGGGCTATTGCACATTAAGTTGTGACTGCTTTGTGTGTGTTGTGATTGTGTGTGTTGTGAGTAAGGGCACAGATGAAGTGATCAAGTCGACAGCTTGCCGAGCTGTGATTGTCACTGATCCCCCCCCCCTGTCCTCGGGAAAACAGTGCCATCTGCCACGGGCAATGCCAGCTTGGCACTCTCCACCCAGGCTAAACTAGAGAGGGCAGAGGAGCTCCAACAGTTTAATATCAGTTGCAAGGTCTCCTTGTCAGGGGTGTTTGTCTCTGTGTGTACACTTGGGGGAGTTTGAATGTGGGGTCTTGTTCTGATTCCCACAGATTTTTGGAAAAGTGCACAAGGAGAATTATTCTGTCAGTATTTGTAATTTTGTTAGTTAAATAATAATAATAATTAACTTTTTGATATTAGTTTGTATACCTGAAAGTTAATTCAATCAATGAATCAATCAATGTCATTCACGATTTGTTATTCGCAAAACATTATTTCCATTAAGTGATTTCCCTGGTTCCAAGGGGAGCAAATATTAATACTTGAGAAAAATGCTGTTTTTTTTCAAACCATTTACATTTTTAAACTGATTTTAAATATATTTGGTTGTTATAAATATTGGGACAACTGTTGGAGAATACAATCTGAGAATTCATGAATGAAGTCATTATATCAGTAAGAAAGCTGCAGTTCATTGGCATGATGTTGTACATTTTAGATCCAAAGTAATATCACCTGGGTAATGCTTCAACCAGCCCATAAGGCTCTGTCTACATGATTTATTAAACATTCTGTGTCGTACCTCGCTTCAGGTCCTCCAGCATCATCATGCGGTCCACGAGATCTCCTACATTGCCAAGGACATCACGGACCACCGAGCCTTTGGCTACGTCTGCGGGAAGGAAGGGAACCACCGCTTCGTGGCTATCAAGACCGCACAGTCGGTAAGTGTCTGTGTGTACGCAGCTGTGTGTGTGCATATAGCACCATACACCCGATGTGTGTAGGTTAATGTATGATTCATCTGGGTCTTTTTTCAATAGCACAAACCTCTTGACATTTAGATAAGGACCCTTGAACACGGTCTCATGTCCCTTTGTGCTTTTCATCAAACAAACAGTTTACTCTCTGGAGCTCTCGGTGTGTGTGTTAGTTCTATGTGTGTATGGAAGGTTCACATTCAGTCCTGCTGCAACATACTCTTTATGATATTGAGCACCCCTCTTGGACCCGTTATGATTGTTGTTGCTGTTGTTGTATCTATGTGCCTGGCTTGTTTAGTCTGGATCCAGCTGGCTCACTCTGCAGCCATATTGATTTCCCATAGTGAGTCGATGAGGGTTTGAGTGTGTGTCACCAGCTCTAATGGCATATCCATCCTCCCAGGGCCATGAACCGTGGCTCCCTGACTTAGACAGATACACACAGTCACACACAGCAGCCAGTACTCAACACACACCCACCAGACCTGCATTCAGAAAATGTTGCAAACCCAATGCTACCATGACGAACAGCAAAGCATGAGGCTGAGCTCTCATCAGTCACCTAAGCTGTCATTTACATTACATGTGCCTGAGGAAAGGTCACGGTTATATTTTACTCACATTTTCAGGTTTTTAACCCGCCATCCCTCGCACTCAGACCATTAGTTGTGGAGCGTACAATGAGAGGCGTGCAGACCCAGAGCTTATGGCGGAGGCTGAGGCTGTAATTGGAAAGTAACCACTTTGATGTGAATTAGCAAAGCGTCCCTGTCCTCCAAAAAGGCTAAGACTTGAGGTTGCTCCGGAAAGGCCAATTTAGGGGTACATTCGAAAGTAATTGGCTTACCACTCAACCCAAAGTCTCAGCGTAAGAAGGACGTGTTTTATTAAGCAAGTTTTAGTGGAGATGGAAGCACACTAATTGAGTTAGAAGGGCTTTCATAGACTCTGAGCTCATCACAGTCTTTGTTATAACTTTTTAGAAGAGTTACAATTGTAATTAATAATAATAGATATTTTTGTGAGGAAATCAACCTTGTATCTAATTTGTTGAAAGGGTACATTTTAAAGACTAAAAGTACTTTTGTATTCAACTTCTGGAGCAAATCATGAAAGCAACCACAAAAGAGAAAATAACTAACGGCCCGTCCACACAGCGGCGTGCGTTGTCGCTTGCCGGCGGGCATGTCTGAAGACTAGACCAACAACCAATCACCTGAATCTCCCGCCCCGGACACACAAGCAGCGGTTTGATTGGCTAGAGCTTGTACTGGCATATGATTCGATTGGCTGACGCTTCCATCAAAGCTTCAAAAGTTGAACATTGCTCAACTTTTGCAGCGAGCAACGCGAGCAACGCGAGCAACGCGAGCAACGCGAGCAACGCTACGCTTCGCTCCCACAATGCAGTTCGGCGAAGCGTGACGTCACCTCATTCAAAGTGAATGGGTTGAAGCTTTAACGCACGCCGCTGTGTGGACGGGCCGTTAGTGCTAATCATTGGCGAGCCTGGCTTCCTCTGGACAATGTTCTCCTGCTGCTTTATAACAAAAAGCTTTATTTCACTGCTAATGGAAAAGTGAAGCCAATACATTTGACCTTTTGTAAAATAGAATATGCAAAGTGCACGGTACATTGTACATTTCTGGGTGCATGTTGTTGTTTATTGGGTGCAGTACTTCTATTTTAGTTAAGTGGCAAACATTTTTGACTCCAGGGTTCAACAATTTCAGATAAATACATTTCGCTCAGGTATATTGCACAATACTCTTCTGTTCACTTTAAATGTTTCTCCCTCTTGTGTTACTGTGATCATTGCTGCGATCGCTTATTCTTTCTCGAGCTGTATATTTAGGCCCATTCTCTAGAGATTGTTTTTGCAAATGGAGGAAATTACTTGGTGAATTTGATTTAGATGAGGCAGCTGGAGGAAAGTTCAATAACATTTAAATAATTAATAAATTCAGAATGTCATTTTGAGTAAAGTGTGAATTTGTTGGATTAATATTCAGGGGGATTTAGCCAGAACTACTGATCAGTGAAGATTTTAAATGAACACTGTCTGCTCTTACCTCAAAGTCATTATACAGAGAGAGTGAACATGAATGAGGTACAGAATGCTGAAGAAGATGGAGATTAGAGCATGTGTTTTCAAATGCAAAGAGGATCTGAGTCTGACAGTGACAATATGTTCCCTGTTGGCTCAGCGTGAGCCGCCGTTTACCCCAGTGTGTCTGTCAAGAGCAATATGCGGCTGAGAACATCGTGCAGGAAGACGACACTAAAATAGAACTATTTCCATGCTAGGCAGAGTTCAGTCTGTTAACTCTCGGTGCACTTCAGGAACCCTGAGTCAATCATTGATAAGCTCTAAAACATTGTTTTACTTTAAGACATTTTGCTGTGACAATACATCTAAGTTGTGAAGCAGGTGTGTTGTCAGTACCTTTGCTCCCCTGACAAGAAGTGGTAATATAAGACAAGATGCCTAGAGAGAAATAGTAGAATATTCAGATATTGTGTCCTAGTCTTCCCAATCACAGGATGCAAGAGACAAGGATGTTCTTTTTATTTTATTTTCAGTTTTCTTTTTCATTTCCTTAAGGTGTATATTTTAATTTGAAGTTTAGAACATTAATAAACTAAAAGTACAGTAGTTATAATTTATTAGAGCATTTTCATGGGGATTGGTATTTAAGAAGAACAGACTTTTATTTTTTTTTCTTTCTAGTGTTTTACTGACACTTTACTCTGTGGATTAAAAAGTAAATATTCTTTCCTCAACTAAATCGACTACATCTAATGCACACATGTAGGCCATGACTAACAGCTAAAACAAACATTTTAGCCGTTACATAGAAAGTGCTATTTATTTAGAAATAGTCTGGGACGTCCATTCTCTGAGTGTAGTAACGTTCAGTTCTTACAACAATGAGTCAATGTTTACCAATCACAGGGGCACAACAATCAATTAGTCAAAAAAGACAATGTAACCTTTATAGAGAGCTTTAAAACAAACTTATTGCAGAACTGACACGAGTGTAAAATACTTTTAGCTGCCACTTATTTTTCAGCTTGTGGCCTAATGGAATAATCCATAATGGACTTGAGCTATCATCAAACCAATCCAGTGTCTCTGACTCATCCTGCCCAAGCACATGCTCAGACCCTAAAAAGCACTGAAATATTACATCTTAAAGATCTGTTCTGTTTGGGTACCTTTTGCCACAGGTGGGAAGATAAGTCGTCTAAAAGCACAGTTCTGAGAAATAATCATGGTGATAATGTTTTTTTGACCGGTGTTGACAGTAGTTTTTACCCAGAAATGTGCACTTTGATATCCCAAAGCAGCCCTCTGCATCGCCCTGTGCCGTTGTAGTGGTATCACTGCAAAATGAATTAGGAGATTATGTTTTTGCCTCAATCTCCTGCCATGAGGTAGTGCAGGTTTAGTACACATTATTCGCCACATATAACTAGAATAAGCAGGCATGGTTGCAATTCGTGAGTTCTGATCAATGCTATGTTGAATGTGTGTGTGTCTGTGTGTTAATGGGCAGGTGCATAATGTGTCCTTATCCTCCCAGGCTGAGCCGGTGATCCTGGACCTGCGGGACTTGTTCCAGCTCATCTATGAGATAAAGCAGAGAGAGGAGATGGAGAAGAAGGCCCAGAAAGACAAGCAGTGTGAGCAGGCGGTCTACCAGGTACTTATGCAAACTCACTGATAGAATCTTTGGTTCCCCTGTTTAACCTTATACCTTTATCATCTGCCATAAGTGTGATGAGCTCCATCTGAGAGCCTCTTGACGGACAAGTCGAGTAAGACTTGAAAACGCTTCAAAGCGAGCGAATGACACACGGAGCACCCACTTTCAGGTTTCATCAGTGGCACCATCTGCCCATTGTGCTTAGTTCACCTTCCTCTGTTCTGCCTTCTTTGCATCTCCTGGTTCATTTCTCTTTATCCCTCTGACTGTCTCTTTCTCTCTGATGATTGCCAAATGATTATCTGAATGCTGGGAAGCTGCTATGTCTTGCTGTGCTTTCCGCCTACTCCTTCTACTCCACCGGCTTAACTCTCCGCCTCTTCTGTCTTCTCCCCTCTGCTCCTCTCCTCCCTCAATTTCCTGCCGCCGCTCATCTGCAGACAATACTGGAGGAGGATCTGGAGGACCCGGTCTATCAGGTAACTTTCTGACCAATCACATTGCTGCTGCTGCATTCTATTCAGCTTGCTCTTCTCTGTGTGCACTGTGGGGAGACGGTCCTGTTTGGTTACAGTGTTAGACCTCTACAGATGTGTATGTGGACTCAAAACCAGTAGGAGATTTTCCAATGATGTGCGGTCATGGGTCTTATGTGTCTGTGTGCATGTCTGCCAGTCGGGGTGCATGATAAGCTGAAAGATGTATTACTTTTCTGCTTCCGGAATCCTTGCTACTTATATTTTCCCCGTCAATTTCCTTTTAATGAGAGCCTATTGACATCAATGCTGTTTGACTAATCACCTCTGCAATCTCACCACCTTTCTCTCAATTTCTTTATCTTCCAATTTCTCTCCTGCCTCTTGTTTTCCTCTCCTCCCTCTGCTGCTGACGTTGTAGTACATTGTGTTTGAGGCGGGACACGAGCCCATCCGTGACCAATCAGAAGAGAGCATTTATCAGGTACTCACAAGCTTGTCTGCTTGTGTCTCAGTTATATTCGTGTGATCAGCTGTGGTTTAGCCACAAACAACAAGAAGCTCTTTAAAGTGTAATCTTACATTTGCTTGCTACTAGGTACTAGACACATCACTCTTTAATGGGATGGATATTTTGTGGCCTGCTCATAAACTTAATGGCTGCTTTTTTTCACTCATAACAATGTACATAGATGAAATAAAAGACAGTTGGAATCTGAGGCAACAACTAGCTCCCGATCTCTAAGGGCCACGACAAGCCTTTCTTTGGGTGCACTCCTCAGAGACGTGGGTAGACCTCCAAGGGCTGAGGAGGGGGAGGGTACCCTGTGTGTGTGTGTGGAGGGGATGTGGAGGTTATTCCTGGCCTGCGTGTAAGGCAGACCCCTCCTCTTTTTCTCTCCTCCCCTTTTTCCATTCCAAAGGAGATGAAAGAAAGCGGGGGAAAGAAAGATTAATCACCAGCCTCTCGTTTGATCTTTAAATAAAATGGATTGAAAATAGACGGAGTACTGGCGCGTGCACAAACACCAACAGAAGATTGCACACACAAACACACACATACCAACAAATGGCCCCAACACACACACACACACACACACACACACACACACACACACACACACACACACACACACACACACACACACACACACATCAGGCATACTGTAAGAAACGTGAGCCTCAGCCAGCCTCTAGCCACAGAGGAACTAATGTATGAATAAAGATGGCAGCTTCTGGAAATAGACATGTGAAAGAAGTAATAAGGCATTGAAAATAAGAGACAGGCTGGGCTAGATAGATATCCACATACTTAATCAGTGCTATTTTTCATTTACCACACAGTCTGATCAGGACACGTCAAACTAGAGAAGAATAAAACTTTATTTGAAACATGTTGTCAGTGTGGAACAAACAAAGCCATAGATATTCCCAGGTTTCATATATCAGCATTTGGCAGTGCTCATTGTATCTTCTCATTGCACACACTGTCAAATCTATCTGCCTGTGTGACATAGAGATATTACATGTCTCCATGTGTGTGACACTCTGAGTTATTACATGTCTGTGGGTGTGATAAGCAGCCTTATCCATTCTTTATTAGGAAGAAAGAGACCATCACAGCAGGCCGATCGTCTACTGATTAGCTAGTAGATGAGTTCTCACTTCACAGATTTGAATTCTGATTATCCCTGCACACACACACACACACACACACACCCCCACACACACACACACACGCTCTACTAGTGATTGATTCGATTCCCTAGGAGCCAGGTTTCAGGGTTTTGTCTCGGCATACAGTGTGTCGAAGTGCTGTAACAGTGATGTGTAAAGACTTTTTCATTGTTTGATTAAACCAGAGGTAAGAGGCTCTCTCTGACTGTATTGGTCGATTGTGTAGGTTCCCACCAGTCAGCAGAAGGAAGGGGTCTATGACGTCCCAAAGCGACTCAGAGTGAGTGACCGTGTGTTTGCCCGTGTCCCACCACCCGTCTCAGCCTGCCTCCCCCTCTCAGACAAACCTCTCAGCTGTCCCACCACAAGTGTTAAGCTTTTTCCCCCTTCGGTGCCCTCTCCTTCATAGAGCCTTGTGAAGCTCTCATTCTGCAGCGATTCTACTTCCTGTTAACCACACAGTGATCCAGTGTGTCTTTAAAGTTTCCCTGAGAGGTTTGCTGGGACCCAGTGCTCTTGTGCAGTGTGCTGTGCTCCTCCTCTGCTTGTGCTGTAGCTGTGATGGCTGGTGCCCTTCTCCCTGTGCCCCGTGGTGCCTGCTCCTTCTGGTTAACTGGGATACTGTGTGTGAATGTGTGTGTTGTGTCATTTTTGCTCGATGAAGCATGCCGGGCTGTGGCTTGCCAGTGGTGAATCCAGTGCAAACCTGCATGACCTTATTCCAGATTGCGCTGAACACACGTTTTGTCACTGTCATCCGTCCTCTTAATGGATATAAATGATGTGTCTGATGTTAAATGTGCATGGCCTCATATTTTTGAATCCATATATTAGGATGTGCTCATGCATATAAGTAAGAGTGTTTGCAGTCTAAATCTTTACCACTTTTGTGTATGGGTGTTTACTGTACTCTAGTGTGTGTGTGTGTGTGTGTGTGTGTGTGTGTGTGTGTGTGTGTGTGTGTGTGTGTGTGTGTGTGTGTGTGTGTGTGTGTGTGTGTGTGTGTGTGATTGCCTCACACTGCTGGTGGTTATCATGAAAGATGACCTTGACCACTGTCAGGGCGCACTATAATTCAGCTGCTCTTTTATCTGCCTATAAAGATGCTAGTTATATTGTTGCCTGATTCAATCTACTAAAATCTTCACACTCCCAATAACCAGGCCCCTGCGCTGTGTGTGTGGTTGTGTTGTTTGTATGTGCATTTGTATGCAAACACTTCATCCCATGTTGCTGGTCTGTAAATCAGTGTTCCCTCAGTCTATCCAGAGCTCAGCGTGTATTCCCCTGCAGTGCTTTATTTTATCCTTAAACCGCTAAAACTGGACTCCCCCATGTCACTACTGGCAGTCACAATCCCACTCTTTGAATTTTGGTAGACATGGAATCAGTCTCGCCATTTTCTGGCTGAATATTATCCCCAGCTTTGGTAAGAAGCTTACAGGCGCCATAGTATTTCTGTACTCCCCTCACCCTGCCCACAACACATGCTGCTATTTGGATTGCCTTTGTGTTGGCAGGTGTCTGAACGTGAGCAAATCCAATATTTTCCTCTTGTTGTGCAACCAATTGGACTTGTCGTCCATTCTGGTTTTAAATAAAGCAAATTCAAGTCTTTTCTGCTTCCAAGACAGTCAGAGGGAGTAAAATAAGGATCATAGAGATAAACATGGATCATAGAAATGTAAGAATGTAGGTTTGTCTGACAGCTCGTATTGTCATTTAAGGATAATTACATTTGGTTTTAATATAAATCCAGACTCACAGAGGGCATAAAACCACTGCTGTGCTGCTCCGAATGGGTTTATTCTTTCAAGCGTGTTGCACCACAGTCAGTGATGTTACAGATGGTCTTTTCTATGAGAAGTCAAAATGCTACATTCATATCATATTCTTAATTTATGAACCACACAAAGACATTTCTGAAAGCTTAAACGTTTCTTATTTAGTGGAAAGTACTGCCGAAATATTAAAACAAATATTGCTAAAATGACTAGAAATCTACTTACAAATGTGTTGTATAGCATACACAAGTTAGATATGTCTAAATAATTATAAAATGTATGATGCACAACTGTCTTTGGTTGTTGGCACCTTGAAATGATGCTTGGATGTTTTCTCATCTTTCCTTTTGAGCCAACATGGCGTGAACACGGAGCTAATACCTGTTGTGACATTGGTAGGAGAGGTTCATCGTTTTCTCAGCAGAGGGATTATCAGTGGACAGTGGTGTTAGATGAGATCATTGCTGTGTGTGTGTACACACTGCAGCGAGGATGAAATGATAGCACTGGCAGAAATGCGACCTCCTGTCTAAAGCAATCTCTTCTGTTGTTTACTTTGTCACCTGCTTAAACGATGACAAATCAATAAAACACGCACACACAAACACACGCTAACACACACACACACACGACAAAGGGCCATTTCAATCTACTGAGCCTTTGACCCTGTAAGAACTAAGAGTGTGTTGAATCAACAGAAGCCCCCAGAGTCCACATGAAGAGGGCAGCATAATACCAGCCAAACACACCAACTGAAGTTATCAACTGAAATTAAACTGATGTATTACATTACTTATATATATGAACCATATAAGGTTTTTTTTTATGTTAAATATGTGCCCTGATTGGCTGAGCCTCCTAGTTTAAATTAAAGTTTCATTTAAATAGCCCCCTAAGTGTGAAGGGTTATGGGTTTTGCAGAGTGACAGATTGGCCGAGGAAATGACCCAAAGAAAGAGAATCGTCTCCACAGCCAGGTTGTGTTGTTGAGTTGTGAGTCTGTGTGTTTGTGTTTCAGGAGGTTTTTCGACCGTTGGCCAGTGTGATCAGTCAGCCGGTAGGGGATCAGCAAGGTGGCGTTAATTAAAGGGGCTGCGATAATTGTATGCAGAACACATGTGCACAGGTAATTACTGTTTCCCTGGAGATGGGTAATTGATAGGTGGCGGCTGTACTGATAAAGATAAAGGGCTGCGCAAAGAGATGGTGGGAGTGTATAATGGGCACAGAGGGATAATTGGCAGGGCAAGAGAGAGAGGGATGGATGCAGAAAGATTGAAAAAAGAAAGCTAGAGGAATGGGCAGCAGTACACTGTAGCTTTCAAGGCTAAAAGTAAATAGTATGGGTTTCAAACAAACTGTCAGATTCATGTTAAGGTTAGGTACATTCGTCAGTTGGATTTGAGTGAACCATTTTAGTCCTGTCAGATTAAAACATCCTGTTGAAAAATGGGACAATATTTGCAGAACTGATTAGTGTTTAGCAAGCTGTTATTGTTCTCCAGCATCAGCTAATGATGACCATACTTCATGCTTTCATCCAAAGAAAAGGACACACTCGGCAATATTATAGTGCACCAACTACTCTTGCTTTGCCAGACCAATCTGCACATCATGTGTCCGTGCCAGTGCTGGCGGAGGCTCTGGCAGAACCCATCATCATTCTGCTGTAGCTGAATAAATATTGGAGGTTGTTTGTACAGTCCGATTTCTCAGCGGCGGTGCAAAATATATGCAAATACGGCAGTATGTTTTTTTTAAGCATAGTTCAGAAGCATGAAGGCTAATGCTATACCATCTGTTGGCTGCACAGACCTCATTTTTGCTTTGTATCATTGGGATTGGTTGCTGATAATAAAAAGATAAAACAATGACCTTGTCCTTGAATTTTTAGATTGTAATTCACCTTAATGGACATCGGGCTAGTGATGCCACTGAGAAAGCAAGTGGAAATTAAAATAGCTTTCCCAGATATTATTACATACTCCTTCCTTTTGCTTTCACATATAACATTTGAGTTAATCCAGCTCCTCTTACTGCCTGCCTGTCAGTCTGTTTCACACTGACGTTCCAGACACAGGGGAGCAGGCTTTACAGAAACTCAAAAGGGTTTATACCCCAGCTCAGTGCTGTAGTATAGACTAAAGGTAGGGATGATCTTTAAACCTTTTTTACTCTTGACTTAGGCTCTAAGTTTGGCAAGAAAGATATTGCTCTGTGCCTGAATGTGTGTACATGGGTTTGTTGTGTGACTGTATCGCCATTATATTCCCCTCATCTCACCTCTCACTCATGTCTTGCCACATCTGATTGTATGCAAGAAAACTAATATTCACATTTACATCTCACCAGCCATCTAACACTGGGGTTTTGATTGCAGAATGGACATCAAAATACCCCCCACAACCACCATCATCATCAACATCATCATTTTCATGACCAGCCCCTCCAACAAGAACAAAGTCAAGAGCAGCCGCAGCAGGCAGTGGCAGATCTGATAGACTTAGACCTGGGACTGGTGACTCAGGTAAGGCACTATACCAACATATCGCAGAAGCACAGTGCTCTTGTTTGCTCTTGTGGATCAGGCAAAGCTAGAAGGGTTTATAGTATTTGTGAGCAGGGAACCTATCCTTCAGATGATTTCCTGTCTCGCAAAACAAACCACTTTTGTTGCTCTCTGGACACAAGTCACCTCAACTGTTGACCCCTGTCATGTATTGAAAAAAAAACATGCAACCTTGCTGTTGCAAAGTAACTATGTTGAGGGAGAAAGTTACATCTGTGAGAGAACAGAAACACTCCAGCAGCTTTTTGCAGAGGTTGTTTGAGGGCAGGTGGACGTAAAGGTCAGAGCGTCTGTCAGGGAGCGGGTGGGGGTCAGCGGACATCTCGCCTGCAGACACACCTGCAGAGTCAAGCTGCTCACAGTGCATTAATAAAGCATTCATAACCACAGCAGTCTGACCCCACCACCACATTTAAAGAGTACAGGGTCAAGAGATTGAACTAAAAGCCGACAGAAAGTCTATAACCAAAGATGGCAAAAGTACACACATCCTTACAGATAGTACAGATACTCGTGTTTAACAATACTCTGGTAAAAGTAGCAGTACTGACTAAACTTCTTTACTCAAGTAAAAGTAAAGAAGTATGGGCTTTGAAATGTACTTAAGTAAAAAGAACCCATAACTACCAGCTGTTTTAAAGAGTACCTGACCTCACTTCATATTAATAGAACAATAATGTCATTGTTAGCTAATGAATGTTTCCATGCTGAACAACGGCAACATGACAAAGTTCTCATTGCTCCCTCTTCTTTAGAGAAGACCAGGAAATGATGGATACACGGATCGTGTTCAAATCAATAGGCACGCAATGACTCTAAATAATAATGATCACGCCACCAAACGCAGATTAAAACTAAAGTAAGCAACCTGTCTTGAAAATGTAAGAAGTAGAAAGTACAGGTATTTGAGTTAAAAATGTAAGAAGTAAAAGTAAAAAGTCGTCAGAAAAATAAGTAGTGGAGTAAAGTACTGGTACCAGAAACATGTACTTAAGTACGGTAACGAAGTATTTGTACTCCACTTCTTCCCACCTCTGTCTCTAACGGCCCTGACACACCAAGCAGTCACCAGAGAACTCGCCGACGCCGACTGTTGCGTCGCCGTGTTCTCCTGCGTCTTGGCCGTGTGTCGCATGGCCATGTGCCGCCGACTGACGCAACAGTCGGCGTCGGCGAGTTCTCTGGTGACTGCTGGGTGTGTCAGGGCCTTAACGTCCCACTACTTCCTCTACTGTTGGAACACTTCCTCAATTAGCATTCCAGGTTTCTGTTTAAAGAACATTATCAAAGACACTGTGCTATTGACTCAGAGTACAGAGCAAAACAGGAGGGTGTTTCTTAAAATGTGTTTTGCAGTTGAATCCTAGTGACTAGTGATTAGGTCATCAGTTCATTTTGCATATCTTAGCTCGTCTTGTTGAATTGATCTTTATCTGCTACATTAGACTCTGCAGCAACAATAGTACATATTACAGCCTCCTATCTTCCTCCACTCTTAGTACAAATACCCATTTAGACCCATGACTGTAAAACACCATGCTCGCAGATCCAATTTCTGATAGATGTGAAAAATAACTTTGTGACCTACGAAAGTGAACGAGAGGCAAGATATTCTAAGAACATTCATTATCTCAAAAGAAATGATCCGCATCTATGATTTATGCAAATCTCTGACCATGTATTCAAGGCTTAAATTCCTTTACGGCTAAAAATAGTTTGCTTCACTTGCCACCGGCCTAAAGATATTATTAATGTGCAAAAGGGGGGGAGATACTAAAGAGAGGGATCATTGGGAGACTATGAAAGGAAACAGAACAAATTGCGATCAAATAGAAAGACTGCTGACTTTGATAGCTATTCCCTCTGAGGCACACCACACATCCTCTACACCAGTGGGACCATAATGACTTGTCCTGGAGAAGGCAGTGGTACAGTAATGATGCAGGGGGTGTGATAGGCTGCTTTTAGACGAGCTGATGGAAAGCATCTTCATGTGGGGCAGATGAGAAAGAATGTGTTTGGTTCCTCTTGGGATTGTGATAACTCTCGGTAGGTATGTCATCATAATCAATCATTTCATCTCATTATCCCATCTCTCCTCACCCTCCGTTACCTCGTCTGTGTTGCTGCCACAGTGCTCAGGTAGGTACCACAAGTATACCAAGCTAAGTGTCGTGCTGCATGGAATAGGTGTCGCATGTTGCACTGGAATGTAAACTGACCCAGATCATATATATAGTGAAAGCTGTGTTTTTGTATCTGACTGGGAGTACACTTTCTCTTGTTCTCAGAATATCAACCAATTAGAGATTTTTGGAGACATGTCCACACCTCCTGACATCACTTCTCCATCGGTGAGTAACCGTCGTGCGTGCACACGGTCTGTGATTCACATCTCACATAATCCATGTTTCCAATGATGTGTTTTTGCTCAACCCCACAATAAATCACATCCCGCACAGACCCCCGCCTCTCCAGCCAACATCCTGGACCCGTTGCAGGGTCTGCAGGGTCTGCAGCATCCCGCGGAACTGTTTTCTCCCTTCAATCCGTCTGTGCCCTCAGGTAGGACCTTGTTCATTGTCTGCTTAAATACACCACTGCTACCAGCGGAGGGGAAACAAACGCAGCGGGAGAGAGGGCGTCGAGAAAGGAGATGAAGGGGACCTCGAGAGTCAGAGGAGAGAGAGAAGAGGGGGGGCTGAAATAAATAGAGGGGGACAGAATAGAATTGAAATGTAGATGAGGGGGGTGGAAAGAGGAGAAAGGTGGTTTTGGTTGTGCGTTGAATATGAAATGCATCATTACCTTGCTGCCTCAGATGCTGCTAACGTACCTGTGGCTGAAGAACGCTGGTCAGAGGAAAGTAATAAAGCACGCTGAGATGATTGTAGGGAAGAGTCCTCGGCACGCACGGGCTCTGTGAATTAGACGTGTGTGTATACCTCACAATTGTCCTTCTTTACTCCCCCCTTTCAGTCTCCCTTCCTCCTCTCTCTGTCTATATATGTCAGTGTTACCAGATAACATGTGAGCTCTTCCTGCTGTAGGTAGCAGCCAGAAACCGGAGACTAGAGAGTGCGTAACAGAATGAGCTTCTGCTGATGAGTTTGAATGATTTTAATGAGTGTGTGGGGCTCTTCCTTTTCATAATGACTCTCCCTCATTCTGGAGGTAATTATGATAGTCCACCATGACCATCAAGAGACACCACATTAGCTGCAGGCAGAAGTAGGGCAGCACTCTCTGGTGATGCATGGGTTATCATCTGTGTGTGTGTTTGTGTGTAGAAGAAAAGCAGTGGTGAGCATGTACACTCTATATTTAGATCACTTCATTTGACCTCATAAAGATACAGACAATATCTACATTTCCTTTTTGTTTTCCTCCCCTCCAGGTTATGTGACAATGGGAGCGGTTCCCCCTGGCCACTGGTCCCAGCAGGCATTTGCTGGCCAGACGCCGCTGGCCTTCGGGGTCCAGTCTCCTCTGGGTGCCGTCGCCCAGGTGCTGCCAGGCGGCCAGCCTCTCATCTGGGGCCAGGCCAACCTCTTCCCTGCCACCCAGCAGCAGTGGGCAGCCATGGCGGCCGGAGCCTTCTCCCCCACAGCCTACCTCCCTGCCCAATCTATGGGCACTCTGCCTGCCGCCATGTTCCAGACTCTCACCTCCGTCACGTCTTTGACTCCCGCCGGCGAGAGCCATTTAGGGGCTGGAGCCGGCGCCTCAGCTTCGTCAAGTCCGCAGCACGGGGACAGGGCGAGGATGATGGGAAAGGAGATGTTCAAGGTGGGTAGAAGTCTGATGATATTAGAAATATAACAATTAGAACTCTATTTTGTAGCGTTTCCTTTTTAGAAAGGGTAGTCATAAGAAGAAGACTGACTTTATTATTTAATGAATTTAATAAAATTTAAAAAATTGATATTCATGACACAGAAGAAGAGAAAAAAAGGCCAGCAAATATCAACCAGAGAAACCAGGAATAGTATTTAGTATTTTTTCTGTGGTGTTTTGGTGAATCATAGGCTTTTATTGGTTGGTACGCACTAGAAAGATGAGGGAGTGAAGAAAAAGATCGAAAAAAATATGCTGAGATCCCCGACATGTTATATATTGGGGACGTTGTGGACATGGTAGGCGCTGTAACTTGGCCTTCTTAGTGTTTTGCGGGGGCTGGGCACAACACTAATTGATTTATTATGAGCCTCTGTGGAGTTCTTTCAGTCAAAGCTTCAGGATGATAGAAGCAACGTTAAAAAAAACATAATAAATAATAGATATTGATTGCCCCTACAGTGAGTCAAAATGTTGAAGTCACATTGCCCAGTACTAATGTTTGTGTTCCTGACCAATATTTGCCTCCCTCCACAGGACTTCCAGCTGGCGAAGCCCCCTGCCATGCCCTTGAAGAAGGGGGAACAGCCCAACTTAGCAGCGACCTCAGATGCATTCAGCTCTTACTTCAGCCGTGTGGGCCAAGCCCAGGACACGGATGACTGTGACGATTTTGACATTTCTCAAATGAATCTGACACCAGTCACCTCCACAACACCATCCACCAACTCACGTAAGAACTCTGTCGGTCAGTCTGTTCTCTTAGTAACGCACTTTCTCTGTAGCTACGTCTGACTCAGCTTCTCCTCCTCTGCAGCACCCACCCCAGCTCCCAGGCAGAGCTCACCCTCGAAATCCTCCGCCTCGCATGTCAGTGACCCCCCCACTGACGCCACAGACCCTCCCACAGACGACTCATTTGGGGAAGTAGAGGGCAGTCCAAGTCGCAGTGGAGAGGAAGATGCTGTAAGTGTGTGTAGTTGCGTGTATGTGTGTGTGAGGATAGTAGAAGTGGTGTGTGTGTGTGTGTGTGTGTGTGTGTGTGTGTGTGTGTGTGTGTGTGGTGTGTGTGTGTGTGGTGTGTGTGTGTGTGGTGTGTGTGTGTGTGTGTGTGTGTGTGTGTGTGTGTGTGTGTGTGTGTGTGTGTGTGTGTGTGTGTGTGTGTGTGTGTGTGTGTGTGTGTGTGTGTGTGTGTGTGTGTGTGTGTGTGTGTTGTTATAACCTGCGCAGTGTGTGTAGATCTGCTGATAAATAGCCTCTGTAGCGATGTTGGCGGGCCAGGTAATCACTCTGGCTGATTAGGGGGCCAATGCTGGTGTGTGTGTGTGCATGGTGCATGGTCAACACAGCGTTAAATTAGCTGGAGGAATTGTCAGAGACATCATTAAGCTGTTATTAATATCAGCCAGGTAGCGTCCATACATCACTACTTCTACATGGACACACTCATCTCTGGTGAGATAGAGGAGGGATAATGCTCCAATTCTTCTTCTAGGGGCAATTAATATTTATTTTACCAGCAGCACCTCGATTTAAGTGAGAAAGTGAAAGAAATTAAGAAGAGCTGAGAAGATAATAGGTTTTTAGCGAGGGGGGAGAAACTCCCTTTGCCTTTGACCAAAGCCCTTGTAGATTAAGTGACCTTCCAAGAAACAAGACTTTTGTAGTGCTTCCCCTGCCATTTCTCTTCCTGTCTCCCTCTCTCTTTTTTGTGTTTCTTTAATGCTTGCTTCTTTCTTTCTTTTCGTCTCCACTCCCCAGACATGAATCATTAGTTTTACGCCTTCAATCCGGCAATTCTTTTGAAAGAAATAGACCTTCACACTGCTGAAAATGTCACCAGGCCCCAAATAACACACAAAAGCGTTACAGTATCCAGAGAAATGTGCATTGGTCGCGGCACTCAGTGAGTGAGTGAGTTTCGTGCAAAGGTTACAAAATACGACGGGAAGACGGAGCGAAGGCGAGGTGGGAAAAAAACTAAAGTGTATTTGGAAAAAAGCAGCGCATCAACAGAACTAAGGTTTTTAATAAAAGAGAACAGTAAATTAGCGCTCGTGTGTGATTGTGTTTGTATGATTGTGTGCAATTGAAAAAGTGTTTCTGAAAGAGACAGTGTGGGCTGAGGGTTCTCTCTGTCCTTATTCCTTCTTTAGAGTATTGACACCTTTTTCTCTTTTGCTTCCTGTTTACTATTCTGCGACCCTTCTTTCAGATGTATTCTTCTATGTCTACTTTCTAATCCCCTTTATTTCCTTCTCCTCTTCTCCTCCATCGACCCTTTCTTCCCATCTGTTCTCTCCCTTCCTCCCCCTCTCTAGGCATGTGGCTCTGGGTCGCCCTGCCCCAGTGAGACAGCAGAGCCGAGCCCAGACCAGGCCAGTCCAGAGGCTGGGAGCTAGATAGCAGCAGGGCAGGGTAGGTATCAGTCCCTCTCCTGCCCCCCAACTCCTCCTCTTCATCTCCATGCCCTTATCTGTTCTTCTGGCTGACCATTGTACCTCCCACTGACATTATTCAGGCTGATCTCTCCGTGTGCTGCACCTTTTTTCTAATTTTCTCCTTCTGTTGTGTCTTTGGTTTCAATTTCACACTGTTTCCCTCGTGTAGGCATGCTCGAAGGAACGCATGTGTTCTGGTTATTTGTTGTGTGTGTGATTGTGCATGTATGAGTACATTTGCTTGTGTTTCATTTTGTGTGTCGGTAATTTTCGCTGTGACCTCACCTGTAATTTTGTAAGTATATATCTATAATGGTGTGATAACATGTGTGATTCTTTTTAATTATTGTGTGAAGATCTCATCCCGTATCATCACTTTGGCCATAGTGCACTGTGCCCTCATTGTGTCTTTGTGACGTGTCCCTAAATCAAGCCCAGTTCCCTAAATAGCGCACGTCTCACTTGCAAAAGGCAATAGTGTGTGACAGCCAATCAGAAACGGTACACTTCAGTGCACAGGACGTCATCTGGGATTTGCCAATGTTGTGTGCAATATGCTGATCTCGGATGTTTAGTTTAATTTAAAAATGATTTGTGCTGTCATTTTTATGCATTATGTATGTTACATGATGTAATGTTACTAATATTATGTGCATTACTGCAAGAGGATCAAACTGAGAAAGACCAGCAGCTACTATTTCAACTCAAGAAAATGATGATGTGTGTGTGTGTTTGCACACTTTTTGCACATCAATGCACATGGACACTCCCAGAAAACCTACCTAGGCTGAAGATTTCTTATAACAATATGTCAACATGCTGTTTGCCTAGGAAACAGACAAACACACACAACCACACACAACCACACACAACCACAAACACCAAAGAAGAGAGACATTCTGATCCCTGCCCCCCCACCCGGTTCCCTCGCCCACACAACTCCAGAGTGTGGCCCCTTAATGATAACTGCTGGCACTCACACGGTGAAAATGTAATGGTTTTGTTTTCATCAGCTAATACTGGGGTGCCAAGATTAATGGCTGCCCGGGCATAATTGGCATTAATTAAAACCCAAGAAGCCTTCAAGTCATTTCCCTGCTGAGCAGCCTCTTGCCGCCCCCCCCCCCCCCCCCCCCCCGTTGGCCATCGTCCTCTCATTCAGACGCTCTGAAAGGGACAGCAGGTGGATGTGAGCCCTAAGTGGGAGGACGGATTGTGGAGAACTGACTGGTGGACTGCTTTGGTCCTGGTCCAATGAAGCTGCTCCCATATGGTGTTTACTTGCTCAATCACATCGACTTTAGACAACTCCCCAAACACCCCCTCACACACACACCTGAGCAATCGGCCACTTATTCCCCAGACAAGCACACCTGTGATCGATACTGTCACCACCTGTGCTCATATTGGAGCCAAACATATGTGTGTGTTTGCTGCTGGGCATGGCCGTCTGTCTTGTCCTCCCACAGTGTGTGGTTGGACAGACATGCGTTCAGGCTATTGGGAGTGTAAGTGTTTTTTTTTCTGGGTTGATCTCATCATGTCCAGCGAACGCTCCCGAGTCCCAGCCGTGAAATGGCCTGCTTCCACGGTTCACTGAACAATCTCACATAGCTGCCCCTGCCCAGGGCCTTCCACTCACACACGCACATAAATGTCCACACGTGTACCAGCCAGGCCAGATATCTTGGCCTTCAGGCTAGTGCCACGCCGGCAACATCGCTCATACCTCCGCCCATTCCCCCTCCCTCTCCCAGCCTGAGGTTTATGAGGCTGAGGCGGCCGTGCTTGGCGGCGCTGGTCACATGATGCAGGATGTCACATGATGCAGGATGACACCGCCGGGCTGTGGCTCTGCTGAGGGCTGAGCGATGTGTGCTGGCTGTCACTGCTCGTCCCAGCCTCTCTGTCACCTCTCTCCGGGCCGCTGGCAGAGACTTTCTGCTGACTGTCTGCCTTTGGCCGGAGTTACAGCTCTGTATCCCAGAGCCCCAACACTCAGCTAAAGCATTCCTCCCAACTTTAACCCCACTTTTCTGTTCAGATGAAATCCCATTTGGATTACGCAACAGGTTTTTCCGGTGAGATTTTTTAGCATGAAGAAGATTTTTGTAAGTCTTTCTTCTTTTCTCTCCCAAATGAGACTCAAGCTCATGAGTAAGCTGCAACATCAAATCAAAAACAATCAAATCTTTGATTAGTGCACATTTGAACCTATACTTATTTTTATAGTTTGTGTTTAACATGATTACAACTAGGATTTTTTTTCATTATTAAATTACTTGATGTTTTATAAGTAGCGAGGGTTTGTTCTCAAGTCAAACATCCACACGTAGATGTTTCTTTGCTTTAGTTTGTAACTTGCCTTTTCATCTAGTATAACTGAACTGAAGGGCAGCAATCATTTGCAGCAGAAGCTATTTTATCTGATGAGAATTGGAAAAATGTATTTCTGCCCTTAAGAGACATTTCTGTCCCTTTTCTCAGTTTTTCATTCAATTCTATGAACATTGGCTTCCATATCCTTGTGTGGCAGCTACTGGTAGCCCCCAAACTGCACAGTGAGAGAAGTCTGCAAAAACACAATAGGCCAGCCAGCAGTCTCCAATCAAGCTGTCTGCATGGCATATTGAGTGGCTGGCTGTAATTATATGTACGATAATAACGGGCCCATTGTGAGTGACTACAGCAGGGTGGAGCTCTGACTGCAGGGTGTTCCATCAACCTGTTGTCTTCCGGCTCAGATATGGATAAATACTGACACGATGACTCATAACTGGTCTTTCAAGGCGCTAGTTTATACCTCTGATTCATACTGGTACATAAGAGAAATGGAAAAGAATAAGCATGTGCGCGCCCAATGACACACTCGGGAAGAAAACTCAGACATGCACACAGAGGCATGAAAAGGTTTTGAGAGTGAGAGGTGAATTTTATAGTGAGAGCTCTGAATGGCCAGAGAAGAGAAATGATTGGATGTCTCCCCCACAGGAGCGTGCTACTGCCACCTGGTGGCCATGTTAGGTACAGGAAGTAACAAGCCTCTGCAGGTCTGGATGTACTTGTCGGGGCTTGTAGGTGATACCCGTAGGTTTAGTTGATGGAGAGAATGAATCATCATCTGAAACTCGGGTCCTCCCTTTTTATTATGTAACATTCAGACCTGCTGAGGCAAATCCTTACGAGTCCAACTAGATTTGAATTGTGAAAGTAAAAGCGGTTTGAAATCCTGATGTTTTTCCTCTCTCCTGCACAGAAGGGGAAGGACCCTCTCTACGCCCAGATCAACAAAGGGAAGAAATAAAGAGACACACAGGAAGACGGACCTGAGCAGCACTGAGAGAACAGGAGGAGAACCCTCACCTTGTGTGTGTGTGATTGTGTGTGTGTTTGCGTGACTGGCACATCTCCCAGCCTGGCCAAGCCCTTCTTCTTCTTCTCCTCCTCCTCTTCGGCTAACAGCCTCCCAGGAGGAGCCTCCACGCTCCCTCTGCCCTCCCGCTGTGCTCCTCCTCCTCCTCCTGAGAGGAGTGAGCCCTCTTGGTCATTCACTCCAGGCAGGAGGGATATCAATCACCGAGACGGATCCAGTTCTCCCTCCACTGCGCTGTCTTCTCCTCTCCTCTCCCCTCCCTGTGGCGACTCACACACAGCCTTACAGACATAACCTGCTCCTCCCCTAGCTCCCTTCTTCCTTCCCTCCCTCCTCTTCTCTGTGTTTGCTCGTACACTCCTCCCTCTGCCTCCTGTGTCTGGCCAGAGACTGTGCTGTCAAGGAGAGACTGAATCAAGCAGTGCCTCGCTGTCTCACACACACACACGCACACACACACACACACACGCACACACAGACACACACACACACACACACACGCGCGCACACACGCTCATCAGGATTAGAATGATCATCTTTCATGTAATGGACAGAATGTGCACCTGAAGCGAGTGGATCCTGCAGGAGGAGCTGGACTCTAACGAGCCTATCACAGAGGCCCGTTACTAGGATCACTGCTTCTGATTGGATCGTTGGTTTGGGCAATGTCTCCCAATTCTTGTGAGTGTCTGCTGGATCACTATGCAGAAACAGACTCTCTGGGAGCTACTCACACCCAAATACACACACAACAATCAGCTTACATATACTCCTATCACACACACACACACACACACACACACACACACACATGCAGTCATCTCTCACCCTCTCTAACATACACAGTCATTTGCCAAACGTCTGTCCTCACAGACAGACTCACACTGAGGCCAGAGGACCGGACAAACTGAGGAATGGACGCTGAGAAGGAAGTGTTGCAACAGATTCTGTGATCGAACTGTTCATTCTCTATAGCTTTTGTACAATACTGATTCAAAAAAGAAGAAATTAAAAAATTGAATTTTTATTTTATAAGTCAATCAAGCCGCTGGGGTCAGCTCTGTAGGAGTTATAGAGTCAACATGGCTTTAAGGCATCGGATCGTTGGTTTGCCAAACTCATTTTGTAAATAATGATAACAACAACCATTTTGTCCAATGGACTTCTGTGCCATAAAATAGGAAGGCTTCAGTTATGCAAACTCTCGACGTTAACCCAAGCAATACCAACATATGTTTTCTTTTCCTGTTTTCCCACTATGTTTTGTAATCCTCTAATGTTGTTTTGATTTTGTGCATGGATGTTGTTGGTCTTTGTCTTAACCTCACTTACTAATCCTGTTTCCAGCTGCAAACCCTGCTCGTATCTGTCTTTTCCAGTCCCACCACCTCACATTGATAGCAGATCAGCTTCTGCAGTTTATGTCACCAATGGCCTATGTATGTGTTTCTGTACCTCACACTCTCTATGTTGCAGAGGACATAGTGTCACTCACTGTAACGTAGTCTGCCCCTCCATCCCATTCCCCCTCTATAGTCTTTGAGATACGGTGATGCTCCGCCCATCTGTCTGTCTGCTGGTCAGGTGCCAAACTGCTGCTGTCCCAGCGTCTGTGTGTGGACGGCAGCTTCCTACAACTACATCAACTTTGATGCCAATGACTCCCTATTTTATGGCCAGAGTCCCCATGTCACTGAGAACTCTTTTGGACTATGATGTTGATTAACTTTCAAATTTGACAACTAGAAGATGAGCAGAGAAGTTGAACAAAAAGGGAAACGTCGCTGTTTGAGTACATAACATTTCTAGACCTATTTTAACTTTACCTCAGCTAACAGTTTCTTAATGTAAATTGACACATTATTTTTATCTTTATGAATATGACATTCTACAGTGGGTTTTTAGATGATTTTTTGGTTCTCTCTTGATTTATGTATTCCACCATGTATTACTGTTACAAATAAACACATCCCAAATGACTGATATGTCTATTTATGTGTCTCTGTTGTAATGAGGTTGTGCGTGTGAAAGAGAAAGTGAGCCTAATGGTGTGTGCCTGGCAGAGGTGACCCCCAGTGAGTCTTTAGTTGGTGTAAAGCAAGTGCCACAGTATTTTTGCTGTAATTTAACACGGCTTTAATGGCCTGTCACATTCTGCTACACTGGCAGCCTCTAATGCAAGCTGTCATAAGCTTTATTAGCAAGCCACTTCAGAACAAAGACCTCTTCCTCTTATTTTGCCTCTACCCTCCTCCCTGTGGAAAAGGGAAAAACACATCAAGACAACTTTAACACACTGGTTGATTCAATCATTTTATTCAGGAGAAATTCAAACTAGAAGACCCACTAAACACACTTATCTGTGATATTTTTCCACACAAAAATTAGAATGACAACAATGTCTTCGAAATACCTTGTCCCAGTTACTGGATAATCCACATATCTCACGGTCGGCTGTTTTCTTTGTAAACATTTCTTCGATGAAAGCTGTCAACAGTGATGTCTGAATTGTCTGGAATAACAGGCAGATTATTTTAATTTTATTTATACTCTATTCTTGTTTCAATGTCCCACACATGAGATTCCGTTCACGCCATTGTCTTATTGTGTTGCCAACATTTTGTATTGGATTAAAACATTAGCAGATAGCTACAATTGGAAACATCTGCATAACTGAATACAACCACGGGTAAGTGGAAATGTGTACATGTATATTGGTTATTGGGTGATCTGCCCCTTTTAAGGTTCGTCTAATCTGCAGTTTCTATAAGATTGTTTCTATACAGACAGTAATACAACGACACAAATGTTTTTACATGAGGTCTAAGCTCTTGAGCTGCTGAGTCCCTGTCACACCTGTCAGTGAAAGCTCAGGTTGGCAGTAATATCCTTTAAACTGTGTTATGAAGGCTCTGAGGCCGTTTTTATGTCATATTACAAATGCCTACCTAAATACTATGTAATCTATAATAAACCTGGAATGTTGACAAGCCTCTTTTGCTTCCTTTTATCTTTTCAAGATTAAACTTCAGCTGCAGACAACATGCATCTAATGCTAGATCACCGATGGACAACATCTTCTCGCAGGAGCAAACACACTGCCCTATTGTTAGGATTCAGGATTTACTGTATTGGCAAAATCACAGTGGATATTTAACAGTTTTAAGAAAACAACTCCAGTTGCGAGGTTTCATGACAGTGACTCACATTTGCGCGTAACACCGTGCCAGCCAGGCAACATTCCTGAAGGATAAAAAAAACAATCCTAGCTGTTGAGAGTCATTGCGCTGCTCTAAATGCTCAACCGGGGCCAAGACCCGTTTGACGAGACGGGCTGTTTTGTGAAGATGAGTGTCAGTATTCCTACTCAACCTCATTCCTGCCCCGAAACCATCTCCTGTGCGCAAGGGACGCACACCAGTCTCGATCAGCACGGAGCAGAGACGCACTGAGTTGGCACAGGATTTATAAAGCGTTAAAACTGTTAACTGTGTGATTTCTTTGGACATATAATGAGAAGCTGAAGAAGGAACTCACTGGAGTTAACTTACTCGACTAAGAAGGAATTTTGTCGTTTCGGTGGACATTTAAACACAATGGATCAGGTATGTGGCCCTTTAATATCAAACATTACGCAAAGTGTGTTTAACTTTGCTTTATGTTATCATAATGATACTATTTGCAATACTATTGTTATAATTTATGTTGTGTTAACAGGTGTAATCTTTCTTCCTGTCATGACAGCATAGTGCTTTGACTGAGTTAGTGTTAGTACAGTATATAGACTAATTGTCTGGCAGCTATTTATTATATAAATACGGGCCTCCTATATGTCGTGTGTGTTTGTTGAAACCCCCATACAGGCAGATCACTATCAGGTCGGAAATACTTGTAGATATGCTAATGAGTAAAATAAAAAGCAATCATTGTTATGTGAAGGGTAAAACATGGCCACGATTTCAATCTTCATCTTAGTCAAGCACCACGCTATCTTTCATAACAAGTGACATCTTTTTTTGTGATAACAAGTAAACATATACTTTCTGTATTTGCCTGAGCGTAGTATTGTACATAAGCTTTACATAGTTTGGTCCTTTCACCAGGAGGACACGCTGGACTTTAAGGCCCTGATGGCCAAGTTTCAGGAGGAGGAGCAACTTCTTCTGAAGCAACCGAAGAGCAGACCTGCCCTCCCAGACAAACCGAAAAGTGTCCCCCCCCCCACGAGTCCCTCTCACTTCCTCCCTGCAGGAGCACGCCCCTCCCTTCTGACCTCCATCAACCAGACCCTCGAGGCGAAAACAGTTAATGCCCCCAAAGTGATCTTCAAAGATGATAAGAAGCAGAGCAAAACGCCTCTCATCTCTAAGGGAAAAGACAAGAGTGAAGGGAAGCTGAAAAAACCCAAAGACAAGACAATGAAAGGAAGCAAAGAGAGGCTTGGAGAGATTTCAGAGGATCTGAAACCGAAGAAAGTGAAGAAGCTCCCGCCGCTCCCTGGAGCACCTAAGGGGAAAACGGCTGAGCTGGTGCCAGCCGCACCCCCACCTACAGGCACAGTGCCAAAGAAGAGGGGCATCCTGGATTTCATGAAGTCAACAAAAAGAAATTCAGCGGAGGTCCCTGAAGATCAGATCTTAGACTCTCCCACCTTAGGCATTACTGGACCAGCGCCACTCATCCCAGTACATTTTGACTATGGTGTTGTAGCACCTGATGTTTCTGCCCTTCTACCAAACATCCCCATCTTACCGGACTCAGCTGCTGTAATGGAAATAACCCCGCCCTCCACTATCCCTGCCTCTCCCGAATTGACCCCCCCTCCTACCTTTGTTCCTGATATCCCAGATCTCCAAGTTCCAACCTTAGAGATTGAAACTCCTCTTGAGATGGAGACTCCTGCAGTGCACATTTCCAGGCCTGCTAGTCAGAATGGAGTCATTCCCAATCCACCCAGCGATTCCCCAACCCCCCCCACCCAGTCTTGCCATCTCTATTCCTTCTCCAGTGGCCCCCACTCCTCCTCCATCACTCCCTGAGCCTGAGATTGCTGCTGAGGCTTGTGTAGAGGCTGTAAATATATCTGCAGTGGAGACGCCTCCTCCTCCTCCTCCTGGAACAGACCCTCCATCCATTCCGTCGTCTCCCAAAGCTGAGCGACCCATCTCGGCCCTCTCTGCCCTCTCCAGGGCGGAGGATATGAGCCCAGCGAGAAAGATGTCTCCGGTTGACCAGAGGATCTTCAATGCGCTGGAGAAGGCACGCAAGAAGATTGGGGTAAACAAAACAACTTTCTCTGTGCCGAAACATAATTGAAACAACATTTGAAACATTGTTCAAGTGATGGAGGGTATGACCAAATGTTCAGCTGATTCATGCTATTTTGTGGTTTCCTAATGTGTACATCTGATTTTAGCCAACCGACGAACCCCACCACATCCTACTCCATCACCCCACCTTCTGAAGAGCGTCCACCAAGTCCCACCATTTCCCTCCTAGATCTACCACCCATTGATTATGAGGGAAAGCTCAACGGCTTGGACCACAGTAAGTCTACACAATTGACTGTAGAGTTGTTTTCCTCTTTGTATTATTTTCTTATGGAGTGTTTCTTTGAGTTTTAAACTGTAAATGAATGACACAGAAGCATATCTAATCATCAGGGAGTACTGTCAACTACATGATATCTTTACTTAGTGTCGTGTCTCAGCTATACAGAAAATCTGGTATGTATAGTATGATTTATGCTTTAGGATACCTTTGGAGAAGTAACTTTCAAAACACACACACACACACACACACACACACACACACACACAGAGAACATTCCTCCATTGTGCCAGTGACAACTGAGCAGCAGGCAGGGCAGAGCACACAGGTATGTCAGCTATGAAGGAGAGGAGGAGCGATGTCAGGAGTCCATCATTGTGACAGAGAGCCGGGTGTTGAGCTGGCAGTGCATAATGAGGTCTGCTGCTGTGTTCACAGTGGCTTCATTAACACAGAGCGTATTCATTGTGCATGTCGCTGCATGTATCAATTAAAAAAATGTCATGCTGTTACCTATTTCCCTAGGTCTGTTGTCACTTATAGTAAAGTAATACACTTGTATATCTATGCTAACTCTCAGTGGAAAAACCTTTTTGAGTCTAAATGATTGCCTTTTTATTGTCAAAACACCTATTTGTAATACAAAGTGATAACATTTTAAGGAAAATGTTTCCATTATAATGACAAGAAATGGTTAAATTAAATACAATTGCACCTTTCTAGGACTAGTGCCATTCTTTGGATTTAAAGAAATATATTTAAAATCAATTATGTTTCTTAAAAGTTACACAGAGATTTTGAAAGTAAGGTCTGCTATGTGTTTTTTCATTAGCTCTGCTCTGGTCTGAGTTCAATGATTTCTGTGAAGTGTTTAACTGGTTTTTTCTCCTAACAAAAACAAAAGTTCTTCCACTTTCTCTCGCCTTCGGGTGTTTCAGCTGAAATATTCCACCCTTTCAATTCATTGTTTTTAAATGATGATCCTGAAATGCAGATACAATTTGAATACAATACTTTGGGAAACCCACAAATCTCTGACAAATGAGTCATACATGGTATATAACATGTCATGTTCTTTGTAGGGCAAGCCTCTCCAGCATTGGAAGGTATCACTGAGGAGGGGTCGGAACCTGTCCCAGAGCTGTTGGTGGTTCCCCCTCCTCCCCCCAAACGGCTCCTCCCAGACCCCGAGTCTCTGGGAGTTGTTCCAGAGAAACCCCACAGACCTCCCTCTGTCAACCTGAGTGAATTCATCCCTCCTCCTCCTCTGGAAGGTAATGGTCAGCATTGTTACCTTTACATTGCGAAATCAAACTCGTACACCACCCCTAACAAGTTGATTATCTTATCTACAGAGATCCCTGCTCCTCCTGAATTCTCTGAGGCTGACCCCACAGACATCCCAGAGTTTGATGATGTGACCTCAGAT